GGCAGAGAGACAAAAGGAAGTTGAGTGTGGGCAATAGTCAGGTGTCCTAAGGTAGACAGCATCTTCTCAGGCTTAAGATAATTTCCAAAACGAGAAAGCCCAGAAAACAGAAGGGTGGCAGCAGCCAAGACTCAAACAGAGCAGGATATGTGGGCATTGCGTCAGGTTGCAGATGTGGGCGAAGCTGGAGAGTGGGCCTGAAGGCAGGCAACCAGAGCACAGGACTAACTTCCTTTTAGGAGAGCCAAGAGACTGGGGGTCTAGCTCAGAAGAGTGCTTGCCTAGGAAGCACAGAGCCTTGGGCTCACTCTGGGAGGAACACTCATAATCCCAACACTTTCAAGGTAAAGACAGAGGATCCGGAGTTGACTTCAAAGCAAGCCGGGATAGAGTGAGAGAGCATCCAAGAGTAGCTGTTGGCCTTTTGGATTGCATAAGCCAGTAACAAGAAGAACTGTGAGCTCATTTTGGCAGTCTACTTCTGGTTTTCTTTTTTTTCCAAAGGGGATATTAATATTATAAGTCATTATCACTGTTTCATTTTTTTTTCTTCTGTCAGAAAAAAGTAGGAAAGGCCCAATCTCAAGACTATACAGAATTCTTAAAATTCAATACATCAAATTTTATATAAAATTCACCAAACTTGTCCTAATTTTTCTCATTTTATTAGGGTCATTTTGTCATTAACTGATTCATAGACTAGTGTTCTGGAACACTTGAAAAATATCTGAAACATGTCCAAGAGAGTAATGTTTATAGTCTTCAGAGAAATTCATGTTGATAGTTTTAGCTGCATTGCAAAACTCAAAAGAGCTCAGTCAGACAACATGATTTATTGACTCATCTAGGCACTGGATGAAGACAAAAGGCCCAATCCCTGCTCTTGAAAGCTAATGAATACAACATGCCCTGATCACTTACAGATAATTTACTGACAAATATTTACAGATATATTACAAAAAGAATACTTTAGTACTGAGACCATGCTATGGGAGTGGCCAGAAAAGGGCGGCATTCATCAGGGGATAGTCTGGCTAATTTTTTTTTTTTTTAGGAAAGAAGAAACAAAGGCAGAAGAGGTTAGAGAACAGCGAAGTCAATACGTGTAAATAAGGGCGGGTTCTGCTGACCTTGGGGTCAAATGCCTGTTCTTATTTGATTGTGGTCTCCATGTGTTTCTGATTGAATTTTCAATCAGGAGACTGATGGCAGGACTCGTCTGCCATGGAAGACTGCTTTGGTATAAGGCTTCCTCTTGTCCCATTCCTTTAGGCAGAGGGGACCATGAAGCACAGACATGACTTTGGGTTTCCATCCAGAGAGAATTCTTGGTGATTTTCAGTACACAACATTATTATAAATATGGTAGTTCCAAGGGAGACTGGGTGTAGGACCTCCCTGTGGATAAGGAGCCCCGAAGATGCTGGAGTAGTAAATTTAGCACCCCCACATACCATAAATGCTCTCTAGATCTCCTGTAATACCTAAGTCAATGTATGATAGTTCCCTCTAGTATACTGTTTCAGGAAGGATGCCAAGGAAAATAATCTGTGCATGTTTGATACTTTTTTTGTTTTTAATTCATGGTTAGTTAAATAATGAGGATGCAGGACTGGGAGATGCTGTGTTTGGAGATGGGAAGGGCCCACTGTTTACTATAGACAGTTCATAGAAACCAAAGGTGAGACCTTGCAACACGAGAGCCTGGGTACCAACTCAGTCAGGATGCTCTGGGTGCTTCTCAACATTGATGTGAGTCCATTTACCAATGAAACAGCAATGGCCAGATGGAATAACATGGCCATTCCTAATGGACTATTAAATGTGCAGAGATAGGAGCGGTAAAGGAGAAGACTCTGCTTTCAGGAGAAATAAACAGGGTATTGAACAAAAGAGACACGCTCATGCCTTTGGAGAAACAGTGGAGCAGGTGAAGGTCACCTGGAAGGACTGGTTACATTTCCCGATTTTTTTGTTTGTTTGTTTTTCGAGACAGGGTTTCTCTGTAGCTTTGGAGGATGTCCTGGAACTCACTCTGTAGACCAGGCTGACCTCAAACTCAGAGATCCGCCTGCCTCTGCCTCCCGAGTGCTGGGATTAAGGGTGTGCGCCACCAACGCCTGGCACATTTCCCAATTTTTATAAATATTTAGTTTCAAGAGTCAAGTATCCCCCTCAACTTGATAGAAAGATTTCTCTGTGGGAGAAAAACCATTTAAAACTTTGGAGATGTATCAGCAACCTGTTACAAAGCACCATGCAGTCATCACGTGCAGAATGCTGTCGATTCAGACATGTAGAATGCTGTAGATTCGGACATACCGGGAAGGAGAGAGATGCTTCGAGGACTTGGTGCCAACCTCACAGACTTTGCACATTAGAAATCTGCATGAGACACAAGAAGCTGCAATGAGCAGTTCAGGGTGTCGGGAGGAATTGAGGGTTTAGTCACAGGAAAGCATAGACTCATTGTCACTGTTTCCCTTAAGGAAGGATTGGGTTTTTGCCTGTTTAAAAGAAGTTACTTATGCCTGGTGTGGCGGACGTGTTCTCACAATTCTTGTTCTGAACTGAGTTTATAGTCTATTGGGAAAAAAACAGTCTTCCTCTCTACCTCCAATCTAATAGATTTTAGGCAACATACTACTGAGGACCAGGGAAAGTGGGAAGAGTAGGCAAATGTTTCCATGAGGTAAATAAATATTCATTTATTTTAAGTAAATTCAAAGCTCCTTTGGACCCTTTCAATAGTGTATGCGCTGGTTAGATTTTTTTTTCTTTTGTCTAGTTGACACAAGCTGGGGTCATTTGGGAAGAGCGGACCTCAATTGGGAAAATGCCTCCATCAGATTGGCTTGTAGGGAAGTCTGTGGGGGCATTTCCTTGATTGATGATTGACGTAGGAGGGTTGAGCCCACTCTGTCAGTGCTATGCCTGGGTTGTATAAGAGAGGATGAGCAAGCATGAGGGGCAAGCCTGTAAGACCTGTTCCTCCATGGCTCTGCTTCAGCTCCTGCCTCTAGGCTCCTGCTCTGACTCCCTTCATGACTGTAAACTGTAAGCTGAAATAAATCATTTCTCCCCAAGTCGCTTTTCATTGTGGTGCTGATCACAGCAATAGAAAGTAGATTTGTACTTTACCTTTTGAGAAGTGTCTGCTCATTCCTTTGCATTTCTTTTTAACATCATAGCCGTTAACCTAAGTTTCCAAAGATGTTGGGTAGTCAAAGCAATCCTGAATAAAAAGGGAATGCCGGGGGAATCACAATACATGATTCTAAGGACCACAGAGCCTCCGGAAGAGAAACAGCATGGTGTTGTCACACAAACATGTAAAGCAAAGGAACACAAGACTCAGAAATGAATCCGTGTGCACACACTGGACAAGAGATGGTCTCCAGCTCATGGTGCTGGGAAAACTGGATTCTATATGTGGGAGAATTAAACTTGATCTCTGTCTCTCACCCTACCAAAAATCAGTTCAAAATGTAGCAAAGCCCTAAATGTAAGATGAACAAATCTTAAACTGTCAGAGGAAAACCTTTCATGATATGGGAGGAAAGGATTTTCTGAAGAGCCCTAAGCCCACGGGAAATTAGTGTAAGAACTGACAAGCAAGATTGAACGAAATTAAAATGCTTCTCCACCACAAAGTAAGCAACAGAGCGAAGAGACAGCCCTCAGAATGGGGTGAAAAAACTAAGCTTGATTGTCTCCTTTTAGACAGGAGAGGAGACAGACACAGGAGGATACGGGCACACCAGTAGGTGGCGCCTGTTTATTCCTGGGAGATGAGTATGGTTTACTCTAGGCTTGGAATTTCAGGAATTAAGGCTAGTCCTTTGGTGAAGTTCATGCAAAGTGACATACCCATGTCATACTTTTAGTGCTGTGTCCATGAAGTCACTAGTTCCATGCTGCTACCTAGACTGTCACGGGTCTCATTACTGTATGTATGATGCTGTATCATGTCCACATGTCGCTTCAGCCTCGTTTCCCCAAGCCAAGTCACTCCATAGAGACTGCCAAGCCTTGGGTGGAGTCCCAGGAAATTGGCTCTCATGGTGTGGGAAGGGAGTGGGGCATTATCAGTCCTTTAGCTGGGTGGCTTTTAGGTGACACAGGTCCTCTGGCCCTTCTATGGTGGGCATGGCTCGAGTGCCCAATGTAGGTCACCCACGGCAGATCATTTGTTTGCAAGCAGACATGTCAGTTCCTATGAACCACATGGACAAGGAGAAGTTGCACATTGAAAATCTCATAGCATCTAGGCTTAGGTTTAAGATGTGACATTTTGTCATGTTAGGTCTTTGGCTTTCTAAGTCTTGGGGTACTAGCTCATTTGGGCCTCAATTAGTCTTCTCCCTCATATGACAATTTATTTTATAATAAAAACCATCCTTTCTCAAAGTCCTTCCTGTAGGTTTGTCTATTTGCACTTAAGTTTGGTTCCTGTGGTCTGCAGTGAAGGCACAAAACTTAGTGACTGTGGGCTGCGAGTTCGAATTCCCTCCCACTTTTGTAGGGGTGATCGCGGCTCAGTTAACTTCCTCGGTCAATTGAAGGAAGCAATTTTTCCACTCACAGACTTCCTGGATTCAATGCGAGAATTTGTGTGGTAAGTACCTAAATGCCAGGGGGCGTCAGTGAGGGTATATCCACGGTGGAAAAACTGCCGTTGGGGGAACTCTGGCTCAATTAGCCAGAACTACTCTCCTCCCAGTCACTTTGTCTTTCAAATAGTATCTCTGGCCTCGCCCCGGTTTTCCCAAACGGGTTTTTGTTTCCCAAAAAACAAAAACAAAAACAAAAACAAAAAAAAAAAACCCGGGGCGGTAGATGCAAACCCGGAGGGGCTGGAGTGAAAGTCACCCAGAACGCACAGCCAGTTGCAACCAGCGCCGGGGGAGGAGCGCCGAGAAGCTGCGGAGGAGGAGCGGCGGGCGGGGGCGCGGACGAGGGCGCCGGAGCGGGCGCGGGCGCGGGCGCGGGCGCGGGCGCGAGCAGACACATGCGCGCCGCCGCCGCCGCAGCCCTCGGCCTCCCGGGCTGGAAACCTTTGCGATTGAGCGGTTGCCTCTAGGTCTGCGCCTCCGGCCGCCCCTCCCGCCGTCCCGCGGCTTGCGAGGGAGCGCAGCGGGGACTCGGGGCTGCCGGAGAAACCTGTGACCCCCACGCAGGAGCGGGGCGGGGGACCGGGAGAAGATGGCGACGCCGGGAAGCGAACCCCAAGCTTTCACGCCCGCCCTCTCGGCAACCGCCCTGCACCCGCACCTCCACCAGCACCACCAGCACCACGGAGGCACGGGAGGCGCGGGCTTCAACCTGCCCTTGAACCGCGGGCTGGAGCGCGCGCTGGAGGAGGCGGCCAATTCTGGGGGCTTGAACCTGAGCGCAAGGAAGCTGAAGGAGTTTCCCCGGACGGCGGCCCCGGGACACGACCTCTCGGACACGGTTCAGGCAGGTGAGACAGGGCCGGGGCTGGCCTCGCGTGTGCGGGACTGTCGCACCTTCCCTCCGGGCCCGAGTGTGCTGCTAGGGTGTCTCGGCAGGAGCGGGTTCTGCAGCGGGCGCGATGGTTGCAGCGGGCACGGTGGCCCGTCTGACCCGTGACCGTGGTGCAGGAGCGCGGGGATGCGCCCACGAGCGGTGTCTGGCGCGCGGGAAGTGGGAGATAACAGGAGACCGCGAGCTAGTCCGGGACATGAAGCTGGTCGCGGACCTCTCCGTGGGGGCATTCGGCGTCCCGGTGGGTGGGGAAGCCCAGACAAAGGTGGCCGGCCGGCCCTCGGCCAGCCCTGTCCTCTCCGCGCAGTGTCGTGGCCCCGGCCACCGCGCCGCGCGACCGTGGCTTGCTGCAGCCGGAGAGGCGGTGCCAGCCTTGGTTCTGCGCCTGTGCGAGCAGAGCCTGGTGTCTGGCTCTCCGCCCACACATTTCGGTTCCCTCCACCAGGGCTCCCCGGTTCTCACTAACCCGTCCTTTGCGGGGGCCCTGCCAGGGAAGCGTGGCGTAGTAAATGAAAAGTAATTAAAGTGAGCCTGTTTGCCAGTGTGAGGCCGGCAAGCTGTAACTCGCGCCAAAGAGCAGCCGGCTTCTTCAAGTTGTGTCATGTGTTGACATATTTCGGAGATGTCTGCTTTCCCTGTGGTAGTCGGAGTTGTGGGAGCGGATCCATAAACAGGAAGGAGGGTGGTGGAAGAGGCTTGGGGCCTTGGGATCCACGCAGTTCTGACTTGGTTTCCGACCATCCGGTTCCGCTCTCTGCGGGACGGTTTGTACCCGGGCTAGTGCCTAGCGTTTCCCGGGGCAGTGGGTGCCCCATATTTGGAGCCATTGCCTAGATCTCACGACCGTCACTGCGTCTTGCGAAGTGCATCAGGTCTCTCAGATTCTGGATTACCTGACTCTCCTATCAGGGTCTTTCAGCTTCCTCTTATAAAGGAAGACGAGGGGGCGGGGCTGGGGAGCCAGCTGTGGCGTTAGGAGGCTAGGTTTCTCGTTAATTCCATAAACATTTATCAGGAGGTCCACTGAAGGTTTAAGTGGAATTCTGAATTCATTGGAGGCCAGAAGCATTCCTCTGGGGTCATGAAACGGTGATATCTGGACTTAAGGGTTGTCAGGAATGGGCAAGCAGAGGGGAAATTCCAGAACTTAGTTCCCAACAGCTGGCGAGGCTCTCGTGGTTACAGCTTCTCAAGTAGAAGTTATTCTAAGAGACTCCTGAATCATTAACTTAAAAAAAAATCACTGTACATTCTCCTTCCCTTCTGCCATAGTTAGAATGGTTGTGAGCTGCAGAAAGTGGAGCCAGCACGGCCAATATCAACACGCTTGTGCGGCGCAGTAGCAGGCTTAGAGTTGTCTCAACGTTTCAGTACTGCTGCTGGTTACCCCCAAAGTCGGGTGAAGTTGCCATGTACGCGGTGCTGGCATTTCTTTGAGAATGCCAGTGCAAAAGTAGCGGTGGGGGTGGGGGCCGAGGCGTGTGCGTTTTTCAGTTACCGTCTCTATGGGTGGCCAGTGCTTATAAAGGGTCCTTTCTGTTTTCGCTAGTTCTGTGCAGCCGTGGGTTCTGCAGGTGCGTAATTAGGAGCTTCACATATATTTACCTCTCCTAAGAGTCCTAACAGGTCAAAATTAAAAGGCTTCATGTTAATTTCCCAGCCTAAAACAGTATTATTTTGGAGGGGGGCAGAAGAGGCAAAATGGTGGCAGCTAAGTCTGCAGGCACTTAAGGCAATATGATGAAGAGGAAAAAGATAGCGAAAGAGTCAGTTGTTTTACGTCAGATGTTAATACTCACACGTGTTAAGGATTATTTTTCTTTGACTCAGGTCAAAAGCTGAGTGTAAACACACATTCCTTTCCGTTCTCCAGGAACACTTGGGCTGGACATGGGGACTATACCTGTAATTCCAGGAGGTGGAGGTCGGTCTGGACTTAACAGTGAAGTTCCAGGCCAGCCTGGGTTACAGGGCGAGGCCCTTGACTTCATCCCTCATGTCTCCACACCCCCACGCCCCACAAAGAAAAATAGTTAATTGAGCATTATTCTTGTGAGAACCACAAAGCACAAACAAGGCGTTCCGTGGGTGGTGTTGACATTTCCTACACATAAGTTCAGCGAGTTGATGAACATTTGGTAATAATACATTCCATGCAGCTAGTGGTTTCTCCTGGGCTCAAGTAGACTATCCAAGGATGGGAATATGAAGATCTTCAAAACCTTTTCATACATTTTTCTTGGTAGCAGGAAGTATATGAAGCCCCTCTCTCTGTGAAGTTACTGTATCTCAGGCCATTTGGTTTGTGACTTGTAAATGTAGCTTTCCCAGCAGCTGCCTCTGCAGACAGGGCTGCAAGCTCGGGCAGTGCAGTGCGCAGCTGGATGGAGATGTAGACTCGGAGACTGGAGCCCTTGAGCTGCTCAGTGGAAGTCTAGGCCCTTGCCACCCAAATGCATGCATGCCCTTCACTCATACAAACTACAAAACCATACCAAACAGCTTTCACTTGGAGGCTGTTCATTTACTTGAATTTCAATCAATATGAGATTTGTTGTGCAGTGTCAGGAAGTCTTTCAGTAGTCTTACTGAGAAGGGGGGTGGGGTGGACAGGTGTTACTGTCATGGAGACCCACCTGGAGATAAACCAGGTCACGCGCTCAGAATCCTAACCCATTCTGAGACATGGACCAGCGCTTCGAATCCAGATGGCTCCTCCCTAGTGTTTGTATTCTGACCCTCCCCTGTTGGATAGGGATAGAATTTTCGGGGCTTCCTGGAGTTCATTCCATAGACATTCATCCCTTCACTCATTCCTGTGAAGTTTCCATTCTGGTTTGAGGAAGGGATTGGGAGAGAAATAAAACAAAACAAAAAATGGTTTATCTTGCAAGATGAGTAAGAGGGGCTTTTGGATGCATGTGATATCTTTGTTTTCTAAACACACAGGCTGATTCACATGGGCTTGAGGTTGCTCATAACAGGAGCACGTAATGACCACTCGCAAGTATAAACACAAAACTGGACCTCATAAGAACAGATACACGAGGGCATGTCAGCAAAGCACCCCATTCCCTCTAGGGTTGACTTATCACACGACGTCAGTTCAGATGGAGACGTTCAAAAGTTGATATGTATGACTAACATAAGTGGATTGAAAAGATATCTGAGAGAGGCTGGCTGCACAAGGCTCTAGAAAGAGAAAAGAAAACCCTGACACAGGACTTAGGAAATACTCCTTGAAAACTGGTATTGGTTAGCCAGGCCTGGTGGCAGTGCCTGCAATCCCAGCACTTGAGGGGTGGAGGAAGATTCGGAGTTTGGGGGTCACCAATTGATACGTAGTGAGTTTGAGCCACACGAGACCATATCTTAAGGGAACAAAAAGGTTGGTGTTGTGACCGAGTGGCAGAATCTGTCATGATCAGTGTCCTACTAAGACTAAACGGGAAATGGAGAGCTCGTTTATCTGGCCACATGGCATAAAAATGCTCACTAAGGCTGGGCCTTGGTGGAACTGGCTTGTGATTCCAGCTCCTCAGGGATATGCCAGAGGATCACAGTTTCGAGGCCTGCCTGGACTACAAAATGATTTAGGGTCAGCCCCTGGGAACTTAGTAAGGCCTTGTCTCAAAACTGAAAGTGAAAAGGTCTTGGCCATCACTAGGTGGAGGAGTACTGTGAGCATGTGTGAGATCCTAGGCTGACTGAATGGTTCAGGGCCTGGAGCATTGTAGGCCGGTGCTCCAGCTTTGTGCTGCCCCCAACCCCTGCACCCCCTGAATGTGTAATTTTGTGTTTGAGTGGGGAGTGGAGCTGTGACGTGTAAGGTGTGAGAAGTGAGGTAGCAGTTGCAGGAAGCCACCGGAGTCCCACAGGCCAAGAGAGGGTCCAGACAGCACCAGGCACTGTCTGCTGCCTTCAGGGGGGAGGCTCCTGCAGCAGAGGTAGGATGCCCATCGCGGTTTGCGGGATGGATGTGGATGGACGCGCCCATGACCGTCCTGTGGTTGGAAAGATAACTCCAGGATGGTGAGGGAGAACCTGTCATTAAAAGAAGAGACAGTATTCAGTCCTGTCCCCTGGTTATGTCCTCTCAGCCCTGCCCCTACCTTCCAGTGGGAGGCAGCCCATGGAGCCTTTATGCCCTGTTGTTTGTGGACTCTGGGAAGCCGCTGAGGCCTGGGGCTGGTGGGACTGTGATTCAAGACCTGGTGGCAGGCCTATCTGTTACAGGCTGACTTGTCTACCCCACTCCCACCCTGTAGCCACAGAGCCATTGGAATCCATACGGAGCTTGATAATGAAATCTGTTTTTGATAACATGCTCTGTTCCATAATTTTGGCCATGAAGATTTTCCACTGTTAAATATAGTAAAGCACTTGAAATCACATTTTCTTTTTCTTTCAAGTGTGTGCTACCAGTCTGGCCACCCATGTTTTCTCAAAAAAATGTGTGTTCTTTTTTGGAGGGGTGGTTCTCTGTGGCTTTGGAGGCTGTCCTGGAACTAGTAGCTCTTGTAGACCAGGCTGGTCTTGGGCTCACAGAGATCCGCCTGCCTCTGCCTCCTGAGTGCTGGGATTAAAGGCGTGCACCACCACCGTCTGGCAAAACTTGTGTTCTGTGAGTTCGAGGCCAGCCTCGCCTACAAAATGAGTTCCAAGACAGCCAAAACTGTTATACAGAGAAACCCTGTCCTGAAAGCAACAATAACAACAACAAAGCTTGTGTTTTTTTTTTTCATGGATATATCTAGTTATAGATTGCTTTTTTTTTCTATTGAAATGATTTACTGGTTATTGATGACATTATCTTTTAGTCACTTTAAAATTGTTTATTTTTGTTAATTTTTAGAGAACTCTTTACATGTGTATAATGTATTTAGATCGTGTTCACCCCATTACTTTCTCCTTTGCTCTGCCCCTCTGGCTGACCCCCTCCTTGACAGTGAGTCC